AAATCTTAAAAAGGCAAAGGAAAAAGAAAATAAATACAGATTGAGCATCTTTAATATGAAGTCTGAAATGTTGTAAACTCCAAAAGTTTTTTTGGGGGGATGGGGGGGTTTACTGAGAATTAAACCCAGGGGCTTTCAACTGAGCTACACCCCAGCCCTTTTTGTTTTGAGAAAAGACCTTGCTGAATAGCCCAGACTGGGCTCAAACTTGTGATCTTCCTACCTCAGCCTCCTACAGCGCTGGAAAACTTCAAAACCTCTTGAGTGGATTTTCAGATTATGGATACTAAACCACTAAACTCTATGCACATATTTCAAAGTCTAAGAAACTCCAAAATCTAAAACATTTCTGGTCTCAAGGATGCTGGTTAAGGTTAACGTGTAGAAGGCAGCGATGAAAAGGAAAAGATAAAGAATTCAAATTGAAAAAATACGATACAGAGCCTCTATAATTCTCATTAGCAACACTCCCATTATTCTCCTGGCTGAAAAAGTGCTCAAATCTCTGAACTCTGCTTACTGTCCACACAATTAAATCCAGATTCCTTATCTTTTCAAAATGGCCACCCACCATCTTTCCCACACCAGAGAGGCCCAGCTGTAACACACCCTTTCTCAGCAGTTTCCCCTCCAGCCTCCTCATCTACAGTGCCTCCCACAACCTCTCCCTACCCCAGTGCTTGGAGACGGACAGCTGAAGGGGGGAGGTGGGCACCTGAGCTCTCACTGTGGGAATGTAAAATGCTATAACTACTTTTTAAAAATCTGCAGATTATCATATAACCTCGCAATTCTATTGCTTGGTAGTGACCTCTCCTCATAAAATCATATGTCCACACAGATTTGTACACAGACTCCACAGCAGCGTTATTCGTAATCGCCTAGAGTGGTAACTACACAAGCTTAGTGAAAGGATAAGGAAAAAACATATGGCCTATCTGCACAAGAAGACTCTTTTCAGCAATAAAAAGGAGCTACCTGCTAACTCATGCTACCAAATCAATGCACCTCGACATTATTACAAGGAGTCAGGTGCAGAACACCATGCAGTGAATGATTCCATTTACGTGAAATGTCCAGAAAAGACAAATCCATACAGACAGGAAGTAGATTCGTGATTGGGGGTGGAAGCAAGAACTGACTACAAATAGGCCAAGAAGATCTTCTAGAGCGAGAGAAACACTGCAGATTTGATTGTAGTTATGGTTACACAACTCTGTAAATTCTTTAATCATTAACACTTAACACAAGTAAATTTTATGGCGTGTAAATTGTAACTCAATAAGGCTCTTTCAAAAGACAGATCTCACCAGATACAGTCACTGAGAGGAGCTATGCATGTCCCACACAATTAAGGCATGGGATTATAAGGCTCACCCAAACAGGGCATCCATGCTGATATCTATGGTTCTACCATTTATCTACATTTTCAACCTCTGTTGTGCGATGCCAGTCAGAATCTCCCACCAAAAAGGCAGCGAGGGGCTGCTGCATGGCTCCCTGTCTTCCATTCACCTCAAAACAGCAACTACCAAAGAGCTGAGGTGCCTACACCTGGGGCTAAGTGTGGGTACTTGAGGGAGTTTAGTATTTAGAATTTCTTCCACAGTAGACTCTAGCCAGACTGAGCCCCATTTGGAGGAGATAGACACTCTGAAAACAGAGTTTCAGGAACCATCAAATGAGCAAAGTAAGATTTCTGACAACCTAGAGAATTCTGGTGCATTAAGAAACAGGCAAAAGAAAAGAGAAGGGTCAGATATAGGGTCTCTGTTTTTAATTTACAGAATTCTCCCAAAAATAGGAAAATCTGCTAAGCAAATTGCTAATACAGAAGATACATCAAAGGGAATGTTAGATCTACTTAAGAAGCATCCACCAGAACCTACAGATGTCCAAAGATGGAAGCCAATGAGATTTCAATAGCAAACCTAATTTAAATTACTTTCTCTTTGATTTTAACATGGTTATGATTGAATATCCTTGTAAAGGTTAAGTATTCCCAACAATTATACTGAAGTGACGTTTTTCTATCATATTCCAAGAAGTGTTCAATTTTAATCCTCTAAATCTTCATTTAATAAATAAGTGTCTGATCTCAGAATAACTGTTTCTAAACTCATGTTTCATATTGGCGACCATTCTCTACACATCTGTATTCTAGACCTCATTACCCAGAAGTCCATGACTGAAGGGTCCCATTACTGAAAGCATTTATTAAAATCATCTTCTGAGAAAAATAGTGGAAATGTGGGAGGCAAAAAAAAAAAAAAAAGGCTTTCTAAGCACCCTTGCTATACGAAGTTATATTCAAACAAAATGCTAATTATAAGAAATCTTATTTAAAATCACTATGGTTCAATGTGAAAATACTGAAGATGGTTCCATCATATCTTATAATTTCTAATTCATTTTTAATTAACTTGGATCAATGATCTCTTCTTATAACTTTCACAACTGTGGCTCTTGAACTTCTTAATTTCCGGTCCCTTCAGTCTTAAAAAAAATTAAGGCCTCAAAAAGTGTTTGTTTATGGTAGATAAGAGATATCTATGTTTTCTGGACTGGACATGAAAACTGAGAAATTTTCAAAATACTTATTACCTTGCTTGAAAAAATAATAACCGCAAAAAATAAGCTCATTATATGCTCATACACATCTTTTTAAGACAGTAAGCAAGCCTATATTTAAAAAAAACAATGAGAAAGGCTGCGCCATTTTACATTTTGCGACAGGCTTTTCAGGAAACTGTGGTCTTTTAATAGTACATTAAAACGCAAATCTGAAACCTTATCAATGAATGTTTTGTGCTGTGCTACCTTAAATTCCACTGGCCTCTTGCACAATATCAAACCATGGTTTTTAAATAGCACTGAGGGCCGGGGATGTAGCTCAGTGGCACTGCACCTGCCTGGCAAGCGCAAAGTCCTCAGTTCAATCCCTGGTGTGTTGGGTTCGCATCAGAAAAGTCTCTTATTGGGAAGTTGTCTCGTTCACTGAGGTGGAATGGAAATTCTAATTTTCCTCTGTGAGCCTGAATTTTATCTTTGGCAACAAATAATGTCAGTTGTTTTCCAAGACGTGACAGGCTTACTGTGTTCATTTTGAACATGTGTTAAGATGACGTTTAAGATGTCACAAAATTCATATGGGACATTCCTGGCTTGAGTTGCTCTTTTTAAACTGTGTGTGCATTTAAGTGGCAAAGCCACTGCCTTGATCCCTACTGAGGCCCCAGCAGTTGTACCCCACTGCGTTTTATCACCAGTGTGAATATTGGCAGAGTGCAAATCATGCTGCAGTATTATAACAAAAATGGATTTGACCTTGTCAATCCTGTAGTTCACTGGTCACATGTAAAAGCTGCAGTGTTAACATCTAACAACTGATCCCCCAGTCATTAGAAGGCAGCCACCCATCTAGAAAACAAAAGTGATTATTATTGGTTTTTCAGGTTATCCATGTGTTACCAATTCCATAAACATTATTATAAGGAAAAGGCTACTTCCACCCAGCTGTCAACACAGACACACAAAATGAAATTTGGTCACTATGGAAGGACAAACTAAACAAACTAAATTTAATATGCAAATTTCCCTGTGAAATTTAAAATATTAATTTTTTTTTCTCTAATTCCTCCACTGTCTCATATTTGCTGGGCTTTTAAGGTAGGGCATGTGCTTGGGGTCAGAGATACAGAAAGCCTAAAGTTGATAAACCCTGTGGCCAGAGTCTGTAGGATGCTAGGCAGCCAGGAAACAGAGTAGGGGCATTAAAGTCAGATAGATCTGATTTCAAGTCCCAGGTCAGCAGCCTACAAGTAACCTGTCCTCTGTCATCTCTGAGCCTGTTTTCTTAGGTGGATACGAGGCAAATTCCACTTAAGCCGTGAGGACTAGATGAAATGCATGTAAAGCATTTAGCGCAGCTCCTGGCACACAGCAGGCATTCAATAAATGGAAGCCATTCTATGAATAAGGTTCCCTGCAGGCAGTCAGAGTCCAGACAGGAGTGTGATGCACATCCAAATAATTATGACCCAGCATGGGGACTGATTAACTACAAAATGCAATGGGACTAAAAGAAAAATCAATGGTGCTTAAATGAGGAGGGTGCTGTACTGGGAGGAACTGGCTTGGTGGCAGAAGAGGAAAAGGAGAAAGGTTAAGTGCACAGGAACATGTGCAAGGCAGGGCACAGGACATACAGGTGGGGCAAAAGGGTTAGACAGGACCCAAGAAGACAATGCCCTGGAGCCGGGTCATTTAGACCTCTTCATGACATGCTAAGGGACACAAACACTGCAAGCTTTATATTTGTGTAAAGACTGAGGATTACAAACTCTTGGTACTAGCAGGTTATCTGGTCTCCTGCCCTACCTCCAAGCCCCCACAGCTAGGCCTGCTCAAATCCCCTCATTCCCCATCCAAACTTGACTAGTACAGAAGAGACAGCAGGGCTTTTCTCAGAGGCCTCAACATACCAGCAAAGACCTAAAGCAAGGGATATTTGCCTGGGTTCTTTCTATTCAAGCATGAATGAAGTATTTACTGGGCAAATGCATTCTGGATTCTCTCTGACACTTAGAAAACCTCGAGGCACATAACTATCTTCACACCAACTTCAAATTTTATGCTTCAGCAACATTTATGGGTTGCTTTGCTTAATGGGGTGAGAAGAAAAGGTCATAGTGGTCCATGCTTTCCACCGTCACTCCAGCCACCTGAGAGTCGCTGCACCAGTACGTCCTGAACCCTGAAGAGGCTGCTGGTCTCTCTCACCCTTTGGTGGGGCAGAAAATGTAAATGCCAGGGGATGCACCCTGCGCATGCCCAAGGCCAGCTTGAGGACAGCCCACTTGTGTGAGCCCACGATCGCTGGCCATTGTGCAGAAGCACACCAAGATGCTGGCAGTGTGAATCCACGGCCAGCATGGCTCACATAAGAGATGTGAGCATTTAGGCACAAACCACAGGAATCACAGCAATATTGTACTCACCCAGAATTTTACAAGGAAGAAGGCATTTTGAGGGCCCTTTCCAAATAGTTCCTTTAAGCCACCTTTCTTTTCAGGAAATTTGTCATAAATCTGACGTATATCCACTGATTCGAGCAATGGGTCACTGTAAGAATGGTTGGCATGCCCGATGTGCACGAAGAGGTGTTTGTTGTACTGTAAGAAACCAAGAGAAACATTCCCATTACAAACCCTTTGAGCAACTTGGGGTGCATCCGTCTTGAACTGGATAAGAGCAGCAGTCTTGAAATTCTGGAATTAAGCCTTGAACAGCCTAGTGTTTGTGCCTTTGAAAAGATGAGTAAGTTAAGAAAAGCCACTAGAATGTAGGATTAAAACAATCATTGTATTTTATTGACAAGGTCATACATTTCCCCAAATGCCTTAAAAAGGCTTTTTGCAGACATAGTAATAAAACAACTGCATTAAGTATAAGCTACCAAACCAAGAAATAATTCTAAGACCCAGTTTCACTGGAGTCAAAAAGAAATGTATGTAGTTAGCTATAAGCATCAGCCAGAATGCATTCTGCACTCCAGCTCCTCAAGCAGCAATGTGGACACAATCGTCTGAGCAATGACACGCACTTCCTTCTGGCAGGAGCAAGAGTGTTTGGCCTCTGTGTCACCAGCTCCCTTAGGAATCCATCTATAACTTCTGCCCAAGGGCTGTTCAACATGTGATAGTCAACAAGTATAGTGGATCCACAAGGCCATACATGGCCAGTAAAAAAGGGCACAGGTCATTCATTCATAAATAAAAATACAAAAAATATCCCTCAAACTCTGCATTATTATGTAACTTACTAAGGACACTCATTCTTCCCTTGCTTTGGTGTAAGATGCAATAACTCGACTGCAAAGGAGTATGTCCAAACCCGGGTTCTCAACCCAGGCTGCACCCCAAACTCTAAGCACTTAAAAATCTCCAAGGCCTGGGCCCCACCCAGACAAAACTAAAATCCCTGGGAAGAGGTGAGGCATAAGTAATTTTTAAAGATCCTTGGAAGAATCCCAACGAGCAGCCACTTTTGAAAACCACTGGTGTAGACACTCTCTGACAGACCGCCCGTGCTTGCATTAACATCACTGAACATGACACAGTGAAGCCCAGTGCAGGCTTCAAAATCCAACAAGAGTCATATGAGAAGCCTCCTCTCCCTTCTTCATCTAGCAGTCACCATTCACATTCCAAGCTTAAATTGGCAATTCACCAACTACCGCCCTTCTGAGTACCAATCCTAAAGAAGCCACAAATAATAGAAGGCTTAGTCAAAGCTTCCTCCAGGAAAGGTACTAAACATTGGTTATTAAGACTGGGGTCTGGACTCAGTCTTGTGCAGCACAAGACTTTGTGCTCACTGCAAACAGATATGAGAGTGGGTAAGTAGTCTCTAGAGTCTAAAATGCAAGCAGTGATGGCATCTATCTCTTAGGGTTGTTGCGATTTTAAATGAGACACTGCATATAAGGAGTTTACCAGGGCTCCTAGATTCAACAAAGAGTAAGCACTCAATAAATGGTAGCTTATTATTTTTATAAACCCTCCATCTTTGAGATTCACAGAATATGTTTTATTAGCATGTGAAGTGCACTGACAGGGGCTGGGAGAATAGCCTAATGGTAGAGCACATGCCTCATATAAATAAAGGACCTAAGTTCAATCCCCAGCATGAAAGAAAGAAAGAAAGAGAGAGAGAGAGAGAGAGAGAGAGAGAGAGAGAGATAGAAAGAAAAAGAAGGAAAGAGAAAGAAGAAAGGAAGGAAGGAAGAAAGAAAAAGAGAGAGAGTACTGACCTAAAGAAGCATTTTTAAACTTTGTAGACTTTGTATAACCCAAACTCAGCTGATCACAAAACCCTGTAAGTACATCCTGAGAAGGTCTGGTTTAAATCCATGACTTTCTACGCCAGTGGATCTATGGCCCTGATGCAAAAATGCAGGAGGCTGGACACTGCATTTGATGCTAGTGTCCCACGGCTAGTATCTTCTGGGGGAGAGCTAGGCCCTCTCTCAGGCAACCTCAGAGTGATCTGTACCAAGGTTTCCAAGACTGAAAAGATTCAAGTGAAATGAAAAGGGGAAACTGTCTGGCCCTTACACAGACCCAGGTGCAGGGACTAGATGCCTGGTGGCTTTCAGGAAAGGCTGACAACTTGTGAGCCACAATGAAAGAAGAGAGTGTAGCCACACTGAGAAACACTGAGAAGTACAGAGTCAAAGCCACTGTGCTAGACAGGTGAGGTGATGAGAGTTTAACTTCAGTCTTGTTACAGAATTTCTCACATGTTGTCATGTCATCTTTTCAGTTACAAACAAAAGCCCACGGAAAGGTATGAAGCAAAGGCTAAGGAGCTGCTAGTCTCATTAGTGAGGCAAAAGGAAGAATAGTACAGGCCAAGTTCGGGGGTGGGGGGCTATATCCTTGGGTAAAAGCAATGAGAGACAAAAAAAATGAATGTGGAGTACATGCTAGACAGTTGAAGGCAAAAGGTCTTTACCTGGATGCCCAGCTGTCAACACGTCCATCTGTCCAGCCCTTACTAACAGCATCTGCTCGCAGCTGGCTGCCAGCCCCTTCCATCAGTTCTGTCACCTGTAGGCAGTGAGTCCACAGAAAGAATGGAGCACACAGAGCCCTAGAGACACCTGTGAATTGAATCCAGGTCTCCCAGGTGAGCTCAGGCAAGGACAGAGCAGGGTGGAGTAGAGACGCTGTGAAGCTCGATCTTCTTACCCTTGACACTGAAATGCCCCTGTATTCTACTGTTGGAATGTGGGGACTACGGTTCTGCTCTCTCCTTGTCATTAGGTCAGGAAGGTAAACGAGGGTAAATTTCATCTGATTTCAGCAGGGGCCACAGGGTGTAGCTGAAAAGCAAGGTGCTAAGAACAAAGCATGAGAACCCGAGCCAGGCCCGAACCTGAAATGTCAGTTCTCTCGTATGTATAATGGGAATACAATGCCTGTAAAAGAGAACTGTTGTGAAGATTAAAGAAAATAATACAGAGACGGTGGCTGGCATAGGGCCTGGCAGACAGTGAGTGTTCGATAAGCTGTAGCTGCTAAGATTGCTATCATTAGGGTTATTATCGTGCGAGATTAACTAGATCCTAGGGTAAAAGCAAAAGAACTTTCCCGCTTGAGCTAGTGCTCCTGCCAAGAGAAGAAAAAAATAAACATGAATACCCAAGAGCTGGAAGCAAGTCATGAAGCCACTGTTCAATCCTTGACTGTAGCCCCCTGGGAACCAGCTGCTGGGAGGGGGCCTCTCACCTGGGCTGAAGGAGAGGTGAGCGCTTATGCCCACTGGGTGCTGTGTGTGTGTGTGTGTGTGTGTGTGTGTGTGTGAGAGAGAGAGAGAGAGAGAGAGAGAGAGAGACAGAGAGATCTCAGGTAATCCTCAGAGGTAATCTTCATGATGATGCTATAGGTGCATTTTTCAAAGACCATTTTACAAATGAGGAAACAGGAGCTTAGGGATGAGCTGAGTAGACTGAGGTCACATGTCCAGGCATAGTCATGGAGTTAAGAAAAAATGTGGATCCACGAACTAATTCCCCACAAGTAATGCAATCATTATGTACTGCAAATGTACTAATAAAAATTAAAAGAAGAATAAAATGTGGATTTGTGAAGGTCACTGCCCTTTACTTGCTGCAGACACCAGCTGTACACTCTCCCAGAAGATACCTTCTAAGCCCTCCTGACTCTGTTTGATCGACTTTTTGTGAAAGTTGATTTGAGGAAGAAAATAAAAAAGCTAAATAGTTTCCAAAATTCTATGAAATTAAATTAGAATTCAGGACAAACGTAATGATTCACAGATGCACCAACAAGTCCCCGAAGGTTTCTATTTTGAGAACATTACCTCTGTGCCCAAGTGGCTGACAGAGTAAGGGCAGGCTGTCTCTGCCAAAGGAAATCGGGCCCTGGTTCTCCAAGCCAGGTGACTTGAAATCAGATCCTGACCATGGGCATCTGAGTGCCTTTACTCCTGCCGAGAGGTGACTCTGTTTCTAAGAATACAGAAGACTAAATGAGGTGCCCTGGAGACCACAGCACTACAACAAACAGACCTCAGTTCTCCCCTTAATTCAATCTGCGTGGGTCAGGCAGCAGATTGAACCCTGCTGTCTCTAGATCCACAAGACCGAAAAGAACAAATCTACCTGATACATTTGGGGTTCAAGTTTTAATGAAATTAAAACCTAAAATCCATTTGGTGAAGCTGTAAGTACTTCTCATCCTGCCTGTTCTTCTTTGGGGGAGAAACTTGGGAGTGGATTCTTTACTTGCCTTCCTCTTTCCCACATGAATCCCATTTTCTCTCCAACAATGGCATTTTCCCCAAACTGCAGGTGGCACATAAGACCAAAGAAAGCAATTTTATTCTACAGGACAGAAAAACATGCTCTCAAAGGAAAATAGTTATTTGGGCAGAAACAGGGCAAATATCAGTGAGTCACATAAATCAAAGCCCAAGACTAGGTTTCCTTAGTACCTCAAAGCAGAGGTTAACTTTGACTTACACGACTAACAAGTCTCACAGGCACTTGGTAGAGGCACAACTAATCCTCAACATATCAAGGGCATAAACCAAAATAGTACTCACACCACATGTCTCTTTGATGCATTTTTAGAGCAGCCAGTGTACCTACCATCTATTTTATTCTAGGTACTGTGCTAAGCACAGGAAATGGATGAGCTATCACTATCAGGTGCTTAGCTTCACAAAGTGACTGAGTAGAAAGTTTTTTACTCCTACAGCCAGAATCATGTTGTCTACATAAATACATATTCTCATAGATTCCCACAGAGAAGACGAGGACATAAAAGATAGTCAACTATCTCTCCTGAACATAATATAACTTACATCAGCATTCACCTGTCACTTCTGTAAGAATGACCTTATTCTCCAGCATTAAACATACAGTATTATTCATTAACAAGGATAACCTATGCAGAATCCACCTAGAAAATGTGAAAAAGGTTTCATAAGTTTGAGGTTAAAAACTATGATGACCGGGCTGGAGATTTAGCTCAGTGGTTTTGCCACCTGCTGCGCAAGCACAAGGACCTGAGTTCGATCCCCAGTACCAAAAAAACAAAATACAAAAAACAAAACTGTGATGACCACTAAGTTATCCATTACG